TTTTTTTTTAACTTCTTCCCTCCTCTCAGCCAAGCACAACAGGCCTCGCCCAGCCCTGCGCGGCCGCACTCCCGCTCTGCCGTGGCAAGGGCATCGGCTCCCAGCCGCCAGCGGAGAGGGAGAGGGCCAGCTCTGGAGCCTGAGGCTGCCACCGCCTAGGTCACTCTGGGCCCAGAGGCTGGGGCTTGGCAGGCCGCAGGGACCGGGGCGGTCGGCGTATCCCCAGCATGCGTGCCCGGGGCTGGTGCACCCCTGCCCGGGGCTAGTGGACCCATGCCGGGGGCCGGCGCATGCATGCCCATGGCTGGTGCACCCATGCCAGTGCCCTTGCACGGAGCTGCACCCCCGGGTCCACCCGTACAAGGCCACAAGACCCTCCATCACCAGGTAGCAGAGCTCGGCGCCCCGCCAACAGCACAGAGCTGGGGCTCGGGGACGCGTGCCCTGCTCCCTGCGCGAGGTGGCTCGGTCCTGGCGATCGATGCCACAGCTGGCGCTGTCCCAACGCAGGTGCCCACGCCCACCTGTCCCATCTCTCTGGGGGCAGAAGCCAGCTCCCCGGAGCCCCCTGCATGGGCAGAGGCAAGCGGGTCTGGAGACAACAGGGTACAGGGCACAGGGGAGGGACGCAGTCACCCAGCCTGGCCCTGCCTGGGGGCCCCCTGCATGCTGCCCCCCGCCCAGCCAGAGAGAGGGGATGACTCAAGCTTTCCGGTGCCGGCCCCCGCCCCGGCAATCCCGCACATCTGGTTCCAGTTGTGGCTCTCAGGCGAGGGGCAGAGGCAGGCGTGGAGCCCTGGGGGGACACACGCGTGCGACCCGTGTCCCGGAGCCCGGGGCCCAGCCATGGGGGGACAGCTCCCGGCACCGCCTGGGCCCACACTGGGCGCCACGTTGCACCCCAGAAGCAGCCGCATGCGGCAGCGCCCTGCTGTCGCATCCCCCCTCCGCCAGCCGCGGGGCCGGAGATGCCGGAGATTCCAGCCACGGCCCCGGGGCCCTGGGAACCAGCAGCCCCCGGGGACCCCGGGGTCTGGAGGGGGGGCAGAGGTTGCAGGGAAAAGCCAAGCCCTGGGTGTGGGGGGC